GGAGCTGGCCTGTAGCTTAGCCCAATGTCTTGGCTGTTCTGCAGTAGTGGTAGCCACTCCTTGCCTCCTACTCACTAGCCCTTTCTGAAGCCTGAGGTCCTGATCCTGCCAGCTGGGGGCCTGATCCTGCCAGCCAGGGCCCTGGCTGGCATGAAGGGATGGAACCACCAGGGATGCTAGTGCAATGAGCACTAGTGTCCTCAGCTCCCACTGGACCTCATCTGCAAACTCAGGGAGCACTGGCTGTATGGGCTGGCCCTGCTCCTCCATCTCTGTGCCCTCATGTGAGGGCTAGACACTAGTGAGTAGAAGGTGTGTCCGTGTCCCGCACTGGTGGCATTGGCGTGGCATTGGTGTGACGTGGCGTGCTGGCTGGTGCTGCCCCCTGCAGGCTGGTGGTGGGGCCATAGCTGCCCTTTTAGCTGTGGCGTGTGGTGTGGCTGCGCTCTGCACTCTGTTTGTGTTGCACCTCCTCCGTACCAGACCTCTCCATAGCACCTGGGGAGCGGCCAGCATCCTACGATGGCACCTAGCAAACCGGGACACGTGTGGTGGGGTCTGGGCAAAAGGACTCCTGGATTCCTCCTCAGTGTGGTGGGGGATCTGGGACTTGAAGGGGAAGCAGCACATGGGCAATGAGGCACTGGTGTGCCAGGCCCTCGCCTTCCTCCTTGCTGGGCCTGTGGAGCCAGGCTGGGCAAGAGGGATGAGCCAGCAGCTCCTGGGGCCCAGGCTCCTGCAAGCAGAGGAGATTGATCTGTGCTCTGGCCCCATGAGATCCCCAGAGCATCATCCCTGAGGGTCTCAGCAGCCTCAGTGCTTTCTGGCTCAGGCATATCCCAACCCCCTGGATGGGAGGGGAAGGCAGCCCAGGTGAGGGGAATGTCCCCGAGGAGCTGGGCAGCGACCAACGGTGCCCAGCTGATGCATTGTGTCCTCTCCCTTCCCAGAACATGCTGCGGCGCCAGGAGGAGCTGGAGAATGGCACAGCCTGGTCCATCTCCTCGGAGTCATCAGATGATTCCTCGAGCCCCCAGCTGTCAGGCAATACCCGCCACACTGTGCACAAGCCTATTGTGCAGCCAGAGGTGCAGGCCTCGGCCCCTGCCATCGAGATCTCCTTCTCCCAGCAGCAGGAGGCAGGGGCTGGAGCCAGCATCCCCGCCAGGCCAGGGATGCCCGACCGGCCAGAGGAGCAAGATAGCTCCAAGAAGGATGTGGTGGCCAATGGGCATGTGCCCTACTCTCGAACTCTGAGCCACATCAGTGAAGCCAGTCTGGACACCACAGTGGAGGCCAAGGCTGTGGAGAGCACGTGGGAGCCCTCTCCAAGCCCAGAAGACTCTGGCCCAGGCGAGCCGAACACAGACTCCCTCCCCGGTGCCTCAAATATGTTGCCGGCAGCCTGGGCAGAGCAGGACAGAGGCCTCGAGGCCAAGCCCCGCGCCATGGTATCATGGGCTGAGTCCTGCGAGTCGGAGGCCACACAGGTAGAGCCGGTGGTCAGCCAAGTGCCAGCGCAGGGTGACTGTGACACCACGGCCCCCACACAGGCCCCGGCCCCGGCACACACCTCCGTGGAGATGCCCATCCACACCCCACTCCTGCCTGCCGGTCCCCCTGAGGTCCCACGAGTGAAGGCCGTGGACTCAGGCCTGGAGGAGGCCATCAGCCTCTTGGGTTCAGCCCTGGATGACTATCGGGGACAGTTCCCAGAGCTGCAGCCCCTCGAACGGGAGCTCAAACACCTGGAGGAGATCCTGCTGGTGAGGGGGCCTCAGAGGGAGTCCACAGCGGTACCTGGGGATGAGGGTGGTTCGGCCATCCCAGCTGGTAGGGCACAGATATGAGGGTGCTGGGGCCATCCCAGCTGGCAGGGCCTGGGGACAAGGATGGCAGAGCCATCCTGGCTGTCAATGCACAGGGATGAGGGTGCCAGGCCATCCTGGCTGGCATGGCAGGGTCTGATGAAGCCATGCCCTCCTCCACAGCACAAGCAGGGTGTGTTCCTCAGCCGGGCCTCCAGCATCAGTCTCACGGTGGAGCACGCGCTGGAGAGCTTCAGCTTTCTCAACACCTCCGACATAGACGACTCAGAGGGCTCTGAGGAGGAAGCCATCCGGGATGAGAGGTGCGCAACAGTGGGGCTCAGGACAGGGTGCAGGGCAGGATGTGGCCCTGGGGCAGCTGGGATAGGAGTGTCCACCTCTGCAGTACCTCTCTGCACTGGTGGCCCCAGCATGGTTAGACCAGCCTGTCTCACCTTGGGGCAGGCCTAGCTTGAGGAGTGGTGGGATCCAACCTGTCTGGGGAGCACAATGCCACTCCATATCTCTCTGGGGTCTAGTCTCCATGGGGGCTGGGTTGGGAGACAGCCCGTGTGCCCCACACTACGGGGATCTGCTCCTTTGCCCAGCCCTGAGCAGCCCAAATTAAGTAATATTGTAGGTCCTACAGAAACTCTGCCCAGTGTTCCTCCTGCAGCGATGGGTGGGGAAGGGCTGGGTCTGGGTTACCTGCACTAGCCTGATGGCTCGGTCTCTCCTTGGCTCACAGGAGGGCTGGCAAACCCCGGCGTGGGAGTGGGGCTCCCAGCGCTGGTGAGATGGGGGCAGACGACACTGGCTTGTGCAGCTGCTCCGAGAGCAGCACGGACCCCATGAGTACTGGCAACGAGTTTCTGGATAAGTCCCTGGTGCTTCATCTCAACAACTGCAACTGCCTGCTGCTGGTGAGAGCGGGGGCCAGAGCACAGCAGTGAGGCATGTCCTGAGGCCGGTGGGCACTGGGGTGGGCTGTGGGACCCCAGCAGAGCCTAGCAGATTGGGTAGCTCCAATAACTCCCCTCAAGACTGCTCTCACCACAGCCTGAAGGGCCATGCTAATGCTGTGGTCTGGGTGCCAGGCTCTGTCCCTAAGGTCAGCAGTTTACCTGTGCCTTGCAGAAGCTGGGCACCTTCGGACCCCTGCGGTGCCGGGAGATGTATGCCCTGGACAGGTTGCTGCGGGAGGCACAGGTGCTGGAGATCGTGTGCCAGCTAACAGAGGAGCGATCGGGAGCAGCCAGCTCTGCTGCCGAAGGTAAAGGCATGTGGCAGGGGGACCCATCTATGCTGCCCCTCCAGGGCTGCGTTGGGCCTGGCCCTCTCTTGTGGGCCTGGCTTGGCAGCAGGGGGCTGTGCCAATGGGAAGGCAGGAGGGGCCTGCCAGCTGCTGGGGCCCAGAAAAGGCTTGACAGCCTGTATCCCCACAGTGGTGCAGTTCTCAACACAGAAGGAGGGAGTGCTGCCCCTTTGGGACCTCTGCGTGGAGGTACCCAATGTCTACACCTGCCCTGTGGAGCGGTTCCTGCAGGTCCTGAGCACCCAGTATGCAGCGCTTATCAGTGAGCGGCACCCTGGCCTAGCTGATGCAGGTGAGTAGGCACCCAAGGGTGCTCAGGAAGGGAATTGCCAGCACCTCTCACTGAGCCCAGCTGGGACCTTGTGGGTGCCAGGAGCCCTGCAGAGACCAACAGGGTGCCAAGAGGTGCCATGCACACTGACTTGGGCCCTTCCCTACAGTGTGTGTGAAGCTGGTGGAGGACGTGCTGAATCGACGGCTGCCCCGGCGACCTGGCAGTGCCCAGAGCGAGCAGGTCACCATCTTCCAGTACTGGAGCCACTTTGAGTCACTCGGTGCCCTGATGCTGGATGCCTATGTGATGGAGCTGGCGGAGGAAGGTGGGTGCCCTCCCACTCTTGTGAGGCCCTGGCATGGTAGTGCACAGCCGTGAGCAGGGGCGCCAGAGGCTGTTGCACCCATGCCGTGGAGGATAACCCCGTGGCAACTCCACAGCCTGCCAGAGGAGGCTCAGCCATCCTTGGGGTGGGCACTCAGGCCCAACACATCCCAGGTGTGCAGCACACTCCTATGTTTCCTTCCCAGGCTCCCTTGGGTCTGTGCTGTCCGCACATCCCCTGGCACTTTGGCTTGGGTGCCCCTGCAGCCCCATGCTGGGAAGCGTCCCTGTGAATGCCCTGCGTGGGGGGCTCCCTCTGCCCAGTGTGGTTGCAGGGTGCCCAGGGCTGAGCTCCCTGCACCTGAGCAGCCCTGGGAGGAGGCAGGGGCGCACAAGCAATGCCACTGGGCTCTCAGCACCCTGGCTTAGCAGGCCATTCCCTGCAGTGCTGCTGGCGCAAAACCTGAACTCAGACGACCAGGACGTGGTGCTGCGGGCCCTGAAACGCATGCCTGAGGGCCGCCTCAAGAAGGAAGGACTGAAGGCACTGAGTCTACTCCTTGTGGAGGGCAACAGCAAGGTGGTGAGCGCTGTGTCAGCCCAACTCCGCAGCCTGGCTGAAAACCCTCGCTTCCGCCAACGGGTATGTCCCAGGCAGGCCTGAGATGAGGTGGGCTGGTGGTGCTGCCCAAGTAGTGCTGCCTCCCACATCTGCCGCAGTTGAGGGCACAACACTGACACCTGCTCTCCCCCAGGCCCTCGTGTGTTACCTGGACCAGCTGGAGGATGAGGAGGTGCAGACACGTGTGGCAGGGTGTGCAGCGCTGGGCTGTCTCAAGGTAAGAGGGCTGCAGGGAGAAGCTGGTAGTGCCTAGATGCTTGTGCCTGTTGAATCCCAGGGCTGAGCTGGCTGCAGGGTGGACAAAGAGGAATCGGATGTGTCCAAGGGCTGCCTGGCACTGCCCTGGTGGTTGCTGCACATCCCTCTGCTCCTGAGATAAGGGAGCTGGTGGGGCCTCAAATGCAATGGAGAACTAGGCAGGGGCAGGCCCGGAGCGGAACTGGAAGGGAAGAGACAGAGCCAAGGGATTTTCCTGTCCAAGGCTGGGCAGGAGGAGGAGGAAGAGCTCTATGGGACCTACCCATGCCAGCCTGGTACCTGCCATGGGGCTGCAGCAACCTGTTCTGCCTTCCCTTTTGGGCTGTGCCCATGTTGCCAGGTCTGCCAGCCACATTTAGCCCTTTGTCCCCGCTCCTGCAGGCCAAGGAGAGCATCGAGCAGCTGATTTACCTGTGCCAAACTGACAAGGAACCCGTGCGGGAGGCAGCCAAGCAGAGCCTGATGCTGTGTGGTGAGTGCCCTGCTGCACTGCTTTGCTCCCTTACCACTCAGGACTCCCAAGGGGCATCTCCCAGTGCTGGCACTGCCTGTGGGAGAAGGGTGTCCTGGGCTGGTCCCTGCCTAGCCCTATGTGCTCTGGCTCATGTCTTCCCTTGTGCCAGCACCCCAAGCTCTGCCCAGGCAAGAGCAGGTTGGTGTTGGGCATCGAGGGCTGGGAGCCCCCCCCCCCCAGCCACAGAGCGCTAAGTGTGGTTGTTATTTATTTGCTAGATGGCACTGAGAGAACCATCTGAGTGGGTTACTAGGCCTCCGGGTCATGACAGCTGCTGCACAGGTTGGGACACGTGAGCTGTCCTTGTCCCTGGTCCCTGCTCCTGTTGCTTTGCTCACAAGTGTCTCGTCTTAGAGCCTGTCAGCCATGTCACTTTTTGGAGTCTGTGTGTCTTGGCTGTTTGTAGAGCCCATCCCTGTGACACACCTGGCACATGTAGGCACCTTGTGTCCCGTTTTGCAGCAGATTGTCCGTGTCACAACTTCCTGCTGGGAGATGGCTGCTGCTTGCATTTGGGGGGGGGGGGGGGGGGGGATGCCAGGGCAGGGATCTCCAGGCCAGCTTGCAGCATGGGCATCTTTGTCCCTGCATGTATGCAGGGGTCCCAGGGAGTTTTCGGGATATTGGTACAAGCACACACAGACATGCACGACTGTTTGAGCTATGCTGCCACTGCCTGCTGCATCTGGTACAGCCCAAGCTCTGGCCCATTTGCCCTGCCTGGGCTCTCTGCAGGTTAGTAGGGTCAGCAGCCAGCACTTTTGAAGCTGCGCTGTGGGCAATCCCTGCCTTGCATGGGCATGGTGCAGCAGGCAGCTGGAGAACAGGATTTACGATGTCTGAATCAAATACAAGAGCCCTGGGGACTTCGTGAGCCTGATCCCAGCTGGGACCTGCCCAAGGGTGTGCTAAGTGGGGCAAGAGTGGTTTCTGTGCTCTGTGGCCATGTCACCCAGGCTCAGCTCCACCAGGCATTAGCCACATTGCCCCTTCCAGGCACGGGAAGGTGGCTGGGGATGAGCAGGGGGCCAGAGCTCCAGAATTTTGGTCCACCAACCACAGCCTGTACTTGCAGGGGAGGACGGTAAATTGGCTCACCGGCGGCTGGAGGAGTCCCTGGACAGCCTCCCGAGGATCTTTGCACCAGCCAGCATGGCCAGTACAGCTTTCTGAGACACCACACACACCTGCCTGCCATCCCTCAGGGCAAAGGCACCGCTGGGCTGACTGGGCTTACATGGACTGGGCCAAGCCAGCACCCAGAGGCTCCCACCCTCAGCAGCACACTGCAGTATTACCCCTACCAGCAGCTTGCCGCAGCCGCTCACTGCCTTACAGAGCACCGCTTCCCCTGCCCCTAGACACTGGCCATTTGGAGTGCCCTGTACACACCCCTGGGCAGGGGGGCTCGCTGCACCTCTCACCCTTTGATTGGTATTTAAATTGCTGGGGAGCTTGCCCTACCCAGCCCTTCGTTGGCAACAGCTGCTGAGACTGGAGCAGGGCAGAGATGTACCTGACTTCTCTGCCACTTCCCTCCCGTTGTGCGAGGGCACACGCCCTTCCCCAGAAGGACCTGCACTTTGGAAACGATGCTGTTTCTTCCCAGGAGTTTCCTGGGCTGTGGGGACTGTCACCCTTTGCCATCTGGAGTCCCCAGGACTTAAATAAAATGATATATGAGATATTAATATATTCTGCTGGCATTTCTTCTTTCCAGCTCCACATGCTCCTGTCCCTCCCCAGGCCTGGCTGTAGGGGGGTGCAGTGAGATACGGCCCCAGCCCAGAGCCTTTCCCAGTCTCTTGGGAAGCACTGTGGAGGGCAGGGGCAGGAGGAGCAAAAGACGGAGGGCTGGACAGACGGATGGACAGAAGCTGCCACTTTTTTTGGTTTTATTTTATTTTTTATTTACAGATTTTTGCAGAAAAACAAAAGCAAAAAATTCTTTTCTATAATGTCTCTATAAATCTATATATAATGTAATTACAGAGAATGACTAATTTTGATTTTAAACCAGAAATAAAAACAAACCTTTAATGAGGGATGGTGTCATTGTGTGGGTGTTTCTTGAGCTCCACTCCTGAGGGGCAGTGTAAGCTAATGGTTAGCATGGCTGACTGGTGGGCTGGAGGATTGTCATGGGATGCAACTGTGATTTCTGGCATGGCCTAGCTGCAGCTGGGTGCACTGAGCTGTGCTGGGCAGCTGGCTGCAGTCCTCCCCCTACACCTCCGCTGCCAGCCATTCCTGTGCCACAGCTGGGCAACACAAAGGGCAATCGGTGTGCCAGAGACCTGTGCCATGGGGTTGCTGAGCTGGGCAGGCAGTGGCCAGCCCTAGCCTGAGCTTGCTCTCAGAGCTGGCATGCACCTTTTGCAGCCAGTTGTGCAAGAGAAGAGGCGACCAGGTTGCTCCCCTCCAGTATAAGGCACAGAGGTGACGTGTGGGGCCAAGCAGGAGTCTTGGCCTTCCTGGCAGAGCTCAGCCAAGACAAGAGAGGATTACCCCAGCAGTGCATAGCACTGCACGGGCCTGAGATGTGCCTTTGCTGTCCTGCCCTCCAGGGATACTGACATTATGATGACTTGATTGCCATTGCCAGCGCTGTCCTTCTCAACGTGCCTTGATTCAGTGGTCCGCAGAGAAACTGGATTGAGTGTTGGATTGAGTGACAAAGCTAGACTCAACTGGGTGTGTCTCAGGCGTCTGAAAAGCCAGGGATTGACGTTCATGGTGGAAACTGCCCGTAGCCACTGTGCGGTAAATGCAGCAGGTCCTCACCAGCCTGCTCCTACAGTGCCTTTGGTTTCGCCAAAGAGAGCAGGAAGCTTTTTAAGCAGTGGAAGGAGTTTCCACGTTCTCTGGCCTTTGCAAGAGTTGCTAAGATGATGCAAAAACTTATGCAAACCCTTGCCTGCTGGGCATGGGAACCCTCACTCAAGCTGGCATGAGTTGTGCATGCTGAGACCATGCTGTGGGGCTGCTGCCAGACACTGCAGGATCCCAATGTAGCCGGTGCCCAAAACAGAGTACAAGGTTTGCCCTCAGAGAAGGGAGGTGATGGCTGCCTGCGCAGTGGGCTTGACAGCAGGCTTAAGGATGTCCCCAAGCAGTGGAAATCAGGATGCTTCCCTGCAAACCTGCTATTTCCAGGACAGCCCTAGTGTCTACTCTGGTCCATGCCTGTGTGGGAATGCACCATGGTGCCGATCCCAGGCAGTAGCAGCCAGAGCCAGAGCCAGAGCTTGCTGAGGTGAACTGGTTTTTGAAACACATCCCCACAGTGATTTGGCACCTCTTGGGTTTTTCTCTCAGTGGCAAGAACAGTGGATCTGGCTGCAGTGGCACTAAGCTGCAAAGGACCATAGAATCACACAATAGTAGAGGTTGGATGGGACCTCTGGAGATGGTTGTCCATCTCTCTTGCTCAAAGCAAGGTCAACTAGAGCAGGTTGCCCAAAACTGTGTCCATTTGGGTTCTGAATACCTCCAAGGGTGGAGATGCCACAACCTCTCTGGGCGACCTGTTCCTGCCCTTCATGTGCTGCTTGTTCCAGGGAGAAGGCAAGCCTGGGAACAAGAGACAGCTTACCAGTGCTGGGAAGCTTCCCTGCTGGCTCCAGGCAGGGGCCTGACATGGCCCACGCTGCCAAAAATGTGGTCCAGCTGTAACAGGAGGATCAGGCTCTTTTGTTCTGCTCTCTGCTTTGCATGGTGAGGGGCTGCTAGCAGAGGTGCATGTCCCCTTGTTGGGGATGGGGTTCTGCAGAAAGGATGACAGCGTATCCTGGTGCACCAGCTGTCCCAGACAGGGTAACGCCCTAGCGTAAGATTTCGGGAAGTACCCGAAAGTGGCAGTGAGGGGCAGCACCCAGGCACTCCCCCATGTTGGGAGCTGTGCTGGAGCACAGTGGATCTGGGGGCAAATGTTGGGTAGCCTGGCAAAGTGATGGCACAAGGCAGCTCTTGCCCACACCTTTACCCTATCTATACTAGGTGCATGGCACAGGGCAGTGTCAAGCAGACATGGTGCCACATTAGTCAAGCCTGGTGCCCATGACCATCTGTGAGTTGCTTTCAGAGGAAGCACTTTTGGAGGTGGTTTTATCTGTAGAGGGGATTGCAGAAGAGGTAAAACCAGGGAACACTTTGTTGCGTCACTGCTAGCTTAGCCTTATTTCATCTGCTTGGGGGGGCTGAAGGCACCCTAAGAGGAAAGTACTGTGCTTCTCCCAAAGTACTGGGTACTGCACTGTCAGGCACTGTAGGCAGCAAGAGCACGGATGTGGGTCCCAATTGCCACATACTGCAGTGGGAAAACAACAGGGCAAGGGCACCCCAGAGGTGGAAAGTGGCCCAGACATCTTATATTTTTGGTTTGGTTTCTTTTCCCTCAGAATAACTCCTAGAAATAAAAACAGCCCAGCACTCCAGCAGCTAGAGCCATGAATTCAATTCACTCAACTAAGCGGGTGTTCTGCTTGCCCTGCCAAGCACAATACCAACTTGCAAGATAATCTATACCTTGGCTGCAGAGATCTGAGCAAGAAAGTAGCTTTCTGTCAAGGCAGGCAGGGCACCGCACGTCAGGATCCCCAGGACAAAATGAATCTGCTCTTGGAACTGCAAGGAATAATCTCATTATTTATGTGGCTTTGGGAACATCTGGAAAAAAAAAAAAAAAAGATTAATTTAGGTTTCGATTTAGGTTTCGGCATCTATTACTCGCCTTTGCTCCAAATGGGCCTATGCCAGCATCACCAAGGACCAACTGCCAGATCACCTGGAACTGCAGGATTGTCATTTAACTGGAATTAACATTAGCTAAAAAAGTCTTGTCTTTGAATGGGACTCACTTAAAACACTCACTGCAGTTTGTGTCCTGCTTAGTTTATTGAGTGCCAGAAAGGGGCAGGATGACTGTCACAAAAGCCAGCTGTTTGAAAAGAGCCAGGGAATTGCCCTCTGGGATTTGACATGTCCTTCAGCCTCAGCCCTTGCATAGGAACTATACGGCTCTGCAGGTGAGCTTGCTGGACACAGCACCACAGAGGACGTTTTGCAGTGGCATGTTTGCTGTTCCAAAGAAGATAGTATTCCAGCACCGCATTTGTCAGTTAAATCTGTGTCAGAGCTTAAAGCACATCTCTCTCTTTTGGACGTGCTTGGGCTCAGCAGCACCAATGAGTATTGCAGCTACTTGCTTTTCTTGTATGAGCTGTAGTCAGTGGGAGGGTGTCTGTGTCATGGTTACATTATCCATGTGCTTTGGCTTTAGAAAGACTTTCCTTTTCCCCATTTACTGCTATTTTCCTTTGAGTTAAAGGGGTGCGCATGGATTCCAGGGAACTTTACTGCATTGACTTTTACCTGTTGCTCTCAGGGTAGCATCCTGAGGAGCCCCTGCTAGCAGGAAACAACTAATCAGCTAACATACCCTCTCCTGGTCTGCATCTGGGCTGACGTAGTTGCTGAGGATATGGGTTGAGTGACATTCAGAGCATCAGCTAGAACGACCCCAAGTGGACAGTGCCACTTTGGACTGTCACAAGCTCTGATGGTCCCTCATGTCTAAGAAATGACTCAAAACTTGATGCCAAGTCATTTTTAGCAGGTTGTATTTTCACAGAATCACACAGAATCACAGAACAACTGAGGTTGGAAGGCACCTCTGGAGATCATTGACTCCAAGCCCTCTGCTCAAGCAGGGTCCTCTAGAGCACATTGCCCAGGATCTTATCCAGATGGCTTTGGAATATCTCCAAAGATGGAGACTCCGTAATCTCATCGGGCAACCTGTTCCAGTGCTCAGTCACCCTCACAGGAAAGAAGTTTTTCCTCACATTCAGATGGAACTTCCTGTGATTCAGTTTGTGCCTGTGGCCGCTTGTCCTAGTGCTGTGCCCCATCCTCTTGACATCTTCCCTTCAGATATTTATACATATTGACCAGATCCCCCCCTCAGTCTTCTCTACTCCAAGCTGAACAGTCTCAGTGCCAGTCCCCTCATCATCTTAGTAGCTCTTTGCTGCACTCACTCCAGTAGCTCCAAGTCTCTCTTGCACTGGGGAGCCCAGAACTGCACACACTACTCCAGATAGGAGTGGTGGCCTCACCAGGGCTGAGTAGAGGGGAAGGATCACCTCCTTCCACCTGCTGACAAAGCTCTTCCTAATGCAGCCCTGAGGGCCTTCTGTTGTCACAAGGGCACATTCCTGGCCCATGTTCAACCAGCTGTCCACCAGGAGGACCTCCAGGTTCTTCTCTGCAGGGCTGCTCTCCAGCTAGCTGGTCAGCCCCCCAGCCTGTACTGGTGCATGGCGTTATTTCTCCCTATGTGCAGCACTCTGCATTTCCCTTTTGTTGAACTTCCGGAGGTTCCTCTCTGCCCATGTCTCCAGCCTGTCCAGGCCCCTCTGAACGGCACCACAACCATCTCGTGTATCAGCCACGTCTCCCAATTCTGTGACATCTGCAACCTTGCTGAGGGTGCATTTGCTCCCATCATCCAGGTCATTGATGAAGATATTAAACAGCACTGGACCCTGGATGGACTCCAAGTGACCACTAGGGACTAACCTCCAGCTGGACTTTGTGCCACTCTGAGCCTAGCAGTTCAGCCAGTTATCAGTTCACCTCACTGACCACTTATCTAGCCTGCACTTCATCAGCTCGTCTGGGAGGATGTTATGGGAGACAGTGTCAAAAGCCTTAGTAAAATTGAGATAAACAACATTGACTACTCTCCTCTCATCCGCTAAGCCAGCCATCTCATTGTAGAAGGCTATCAGGTTGGTTGGGAATGATTTCCCCTTTGTAAATCCTTGCTGACTACTTCCAGTCACCTTCCAGTCCTTCACATGTCTGGAAGCAGTATCCAGGATTAGTTGCTTCATCACCTTCTGAGGGATCGAGGTGAGGCTGACTGCCCTGTAGTTCCCTGGATCCTCCTTCTTGCCCTTCTTGATGATAGACATGACATTTGCTCTCTTCCAGTCCTCAGGAACCTCTTCTGATCACCATGACACTTTAAAGATAATC